TAAACCCCAAGCTTGAAATCAAGATCAAAAAGTTCTGAATGGATTAATAAGGAAATTACTAAACCATCAAACTGCTGATGTCGTAAACAAAATTCGTCAACAGCCACTAAGAATTCATTAAAAGTAAATTTATTTTTTGTTTAAAAAACATAACAACTGTGCAATATGTGCTGCTCAAGACATGTTTTGAATCGCTTTGTTGTTCATCTCTTCTCGGGCTTCAGTTTGGCAAGGCTAAATGAGAGACACGGTATAGACACACAGTTAGTACAGGTGAGGGAAGCAACAAGAATCTGCGTTTGTTCTTCTTTCAGATGCCTAAGATGTAGAATCCAAACTACAACATTCCGTGTTTAAAACCTGTTCATGTTCATTGTGTTCTGAAAACGATCATATTCTAAAAAGGAAAAGAGAGCAGTATATCTGATTTCAACCAAACAAGGTTACAAACTAAATTATCTATTTCCTCTTCAAAACTGAATAAAACAATGCTTCGGGACCCAGGTAATCATTCTAAATGTAATTGGAGGATTCAATTTTAATGGTAATATTGCAACATTACTTTTGCTTTAGCTTTCTGCACTGACAGGTTCTCAGCCATCATGTATGGACAACGGCTAGAAATAAATCTGAGACATGTACAGTAAGGCCTTGTCTAAGAACCTTCAGTTTTAGAGTACATACAATTCCATGGCATTCAAACGTAACAGTTCCAATTTTGCAGCAAACCAACATCAAATTGCACTTACTCTAGGGCTCACAAAAAAGAGAGAACATGATTTTAACTTCTTAATATCTAAGAATACAGTATTTTATTATCTTGCTGGTTATTTCAATTTGGAAATAAAAACTAAGGCAAAACCATGTTGCTTAAGGAGGCTGCTTTCTTTTAAAAATGAACACATTTAAAACATTAAAAAACGTATCTCCCTCCTACTGAAGTACGTACTCAGTTTCCTCTTTCGTGACAATTTCACATAATCGTAGAGTTCTCAAAAATATCCTCCAGTATTAAATTTGAATAGCCAAGTGTCTGAGAGCCAAACATATGAAAGACTCAAAATTTCTGCTCCCCACTCTGCTCTGCACTCTGCACACAGAATGATTACATTCACAAGTCATGTTTACCTGTTTTGTAAGCACACTCAGGTTTCTTAGATACAAAGCCATTTTAATCAAGGTGATAGAAGCTCCTTGTGTGCAAAAGATGTAGTATGTATGAGAAGAAATTAATACAAACATGAAAAACTTAGTATTTGTTATTTGATTCCTTATAGATTTGAATTTGTGATTTAGGACTTCCATTAAGGCGGCTTTTATAGTTCATATACTCCATAATTTATAAACAGAAGAGTGATTCATATGACTCAACATTCTTTCCTAGAGCTGTTTATCAATAATTAAATCATCTTTGTGACTATCATTCAATGTGTGAAAGAGAAAACCATGCTGTCTGTATATGCCAATGATTAAAAATATCTACCCAAGATGCCATCATTTCCTCTGGTACAGTTTTTAAAACAAGGTCTATCTATTTGAACCTCATCATATTTTACCAGATATCATGAACAACCTGCTGGGGTAGGAACAGTGTATGAGTGGGGGTTGCAGGGAGGCAACAGGATGATGGGTGCAGGACAGGATGGTAGAGGGAGGAGAGCCAGTGAGCCCGTTTTTAAAGGAAAATATCTTACTTAATCAAGCAGACTAAAAAGAAAAAGCTCATATGCTGCTATATTTACCTACAAAGCTAGACTCCCAATACCTAATGTCCCTTAGCCGTTTTCTGAGCCACAAGATAGAAACTAAAGCATAATACACACAGACACACCCCTGTTTTGCACTGCAGGCCTGCACTGGTCCTCCATTCTTGAACCCTCTTGCAAACTGTACTAAGAAATATATATGCACATGCATGTTCTGATGAAGCTCTTTAAAAGCAGCACTGCTAAAGAAACCACATCCTAGTATCCTTAAAAGAACAAAGAGAAAGGAAGAGAGACCAATTTTTAAACCTTACTGTAGTCCCCTATGTTGTTAGGAGGGGAAAAAAAAAAAAGAAGGAAACCTAAAACAATCAACCTGAGGGTATATTTGTCTCAAATAATCAGATCCAGGGGATACGGAAGGAAGGCACTTTAAAGTAATGTTTTGGAAAATCTAGCAATGCTTTAAGATAAGAGACTTCTCAAAGACTAATGACGTATCATAATGGTGTGAAGGAAGGATCAAGAGACAACATGCAGTAACAAAAACACTGATTTCATGTTTAACATATTATTCTGAACTCATATTCAAGGGCCAGTATTTGGCAGCCCACTGGGAAAGGGCTGACACAGCAGTTTGCAATCTGATAGAACCCAGCCGTGTCCAGGGGTCCTAGACAAGATGTGGCCACTCTGCTCAAAGGTATTTACATTCACCATGTGGTGCTGTATTGCTCTCCTCGGAGAAAAGCTCTTGTTTTCTGGAATTCCACAGACTTCCATGGTATAAACACTCCCACGATGGCAAATTTTAAGCTACCAGCATGATGTCACTAAACACGGAGCTGGGAAAAGCTACACAGTAGTCATTATATAATATTAGCCCCACGTCCACGCCATTAACGTAAATAATTTCAAGAGCAGAGATCACAGTAAAGTATAGCAAAAATAATTAGGAAGGGATGTATTTTGAGTATTAATTACCTCTGTTTTTTAGATAATGTATTTTATTTTTAATATTGGATGTGTTTGACAACCAGCTTGCAAAATTTCTAAAACTTGATCAATTGGCTCTCGCCAGCCAAGGTGGGGTGACTCCAACAAACCACTGATTTCACATACCTAAAAAAGTATGAATGTCAGCTATTTTCTTACCAGTGTTACACACGGGGAGAATATCAGCCCAAATTTTAGGGGAAAATAAAAATCTTCAGCCCCTGACCTGCATATAGAATTTTATTTTTAAAAATATGCAGGACCATCTTCTTTATCACAAAGTTGGCTTTCATGATAGGTTATGGGTACAGGCCATAGATACTGATCTAGAGAAAGCATCATGTAATGTTTGATAGGACTTCTAGAAGAAAGAGAGTTGTGTGGTGGTATTCTTCAAGGTCACTTAGAAACAATACACATTTCTCCCATACTCTCTGCTCCTCTGGCCCCAGACAGAAAGCTCTACTATAGACCTTCCTTCTGGAGTTGCAAGTTACAGAAAAAGATCACTTATAATTAATGTAATTCTAAGATACAAGAAGTGTATTTTTTATTCCATGACCAGAACAGAGCACTTTACCTATCAGATGAATGTTGGCTGATGAATGAAAACCAACAAGCCATTAGCTTTCAGTAAGATGTTAGGAGAGCCCCTGGAAGTGAGAATGTGCTACAAGTCTCAGGGGAAGTTTTCTCCCATCTCTAATCCTATAATTTGAAGAAGACAGTAGTACAAATTCCTTCCATGTTAATTGATGGGCAGCAGCCTTAATTCTGTGAACTGTGGAGGTGCCAGTTTATGAGTTGTCTGTCTGCACATATAGAATGAGAAGGCCCCTGGCTAACACAGAAACGGAAATAAAGTGGCAGTTGGAGCAATTTCTTCCTGTATGATTCTTGGACACAGAGTATAATGAAGAAACATGATCTGATTGAAAATGCATTTGGAGGGAGCACTATATAAACAAGAAAAACTCTAAGGAAAACCTATGAAAATCCCAAAGTTCTGAAGCACTAAGAGACAGAAATCCAATCATATTGAAAGAAAATACTGCTCATAGGCCAGGCTTTGTGCTAATATAAGTTTAGAGTTAATTTCTTTCTTCCATGCACTTAATCAGCCATCTACAGAACACATCTGTTGTGCTGTGTAGCCTTCAGGCTGGGCCATGGTTCCTCGACTTTCCAGGTCTGACTTATCCATAACTCCATGAGCTATTGAGGTCAATTTCAGGATTACAAATCAACAGATTCTATGAAAATGAAAACTGTTGTTCACATTTTGCAATTTAAAAAAAAGTTTTCTTAAAAGGAAGGGGTCCATAATGCAGAATAACTACTTTTCGAAAAGTCAAATGACTGTGTTGTATGTTTTCAATTTTAAACTGTCACCTTGATAATGTTTAGGGGCTTAATTTATGAAACAATCAAGCAATCTTCATATTTAACATTAAATGCCTGAATATTATAAATCATCTTAGATGAACATTTATGGGAGAGTTTCAGTGCAACTTCTGAACAAGTTGTCACTTTTATTATATCGCAATGATTTGTAAAAAATGATATGCTAAGTAATCCTGAGTATGATTTAGGTGCACAAAAACAACTGTCAGGAAACAGCCAGAGACCACATTTAATGAAATCTTTACAGACTGAAGTAATAAGTATTAAATTAATCAACACAGCTTAATTGAAGCTCTATTTGTAACATTTTTATTAGACTGGTTATTAATGAACCTTTAAACGATATCACTAACTTGAGCTCTATGTTTAAATTTAAATAATGAACCATTGTTCACACACAAAAAAAGAATAAACACTGCTTTAATAGCCCTTTGTCTCAACGGGCTTTCACTCTTATGCATAACTAATATACAGACAAATCCCTCCTACCTTTCAACAATTATTTACATGGTTGGCAAGATATCATCATTTAGGCTGCTAAAATAGTCTGAAATACCTAACATGAAATCCATAACGAAGTAAAAATGCAGTAAGTAAAGATTATATAAGAATTTTGGTTGACTTCAAAGATAATGTTTTCAAATCTGTGCTTTCAGCGCTTTTAATTTTTTCCTTTTCTTTTTCTTTTTTTTTTTTTTTTTTGAGAATGGAATGACCTAGCTATGATGCCCAGGCTGGATTTGGAATCCTGGGCTCAAGCATTCCTCCCAGCTCAGCCTCCCAAGCAGCTGGGATTACAAGTGTGCACTATTGTATCCAGTTTTTACTACTTTTTGCTAAGCTCACATTCCTGTATGTATAAGGAGATTCTGGTTTGGGATGGTAAAGACTTACCTGAACATGTCTCCCAAGCCCTTCAGCATGCCCTTCTTGGCTTTCATTTTATCCTTTTCCTTATCTCTATCTTTCTTCTTTTCTTTTCCAGTTTTATCTTTTTTTCTATCAGTCTTATCACCTTTCTCTTGGTTTCCATTCATTTGTCTCTCCAGAGAGTGGGAAGGCTGATCACTGGCTGTGGATACAGACTCTCTCCCTGATCTTGAACTTTCTTCGGTGTCTTCTTCCACTTGGAAGGAAAGAAAAAAAACAATAGGGATACAGTGAACCAACACAACAAAAGTAATAAAGCTAAAATACACTCAAGGACTTTACTTCCCCACACTTTTATTGCAGTATGGGCCTGTCAGCAACATGGACTGCAATGATGTTTAACTTTGAGTAGAATTAAAATGGAATATGTGATGTGGATGCCTCTTTGGTGAGGATCGTGTGCCAAGTCAGTCGTAGAGAAGCAGCTTCCTGGTGGGATGCCGATGCACCCACAGAAACACCCTCTAGGAATCAGACTGTACACTACTGTGGGGCCCAGCAAGACCTTGTTATACAACACAGACCTCTAAGGGTCCAGTGAACTATATTTACAAGATGAAAATAAAGAAAACAAGCAGCCCTTCCCAAAGGGCTTCCTTTCTTCTTGGGTAAGAATAATGCACATACACTCTGGCCCCTCATTAATTTGCTGGACTACACCATTCAGAGTCAGTAGGACTTCTCTCCTCAGGCTCCCAAACATACCCATTTAGAATTGTTGCACGCAGAAGAGCAGATTATTTTGGCTCTGCACAGCCTCTGTAACTTTTCTTTGCATAAGGCCAACATAAGAAGTAAATGCTACTATATGTTCCAATCCTAAACAATCTTGCATGCCTATCTGCACCATGGCATCTGAACAGAGGTAGAGGAGGCCATGAAAATAAGTAAATCAATAAGCTCACTTCTCTGGACTTTGCAGATAAAAGATCTACTTAGTGATAACAATGTTCCATTCCTTGAATCAACACTTCATAAGCACATGGTCCAAGGGCACTTCAATACCCCAAAGTTTTTGCCGTTGAAAGAATGACAAGTAAGTGAAGTAGGTTTCTACCTACCAAAAGAGCTTTAAGCGTTTCTCTATTGAGTAAGAAGCAGGAAGGCAAATATGAACAGCCATTCTCAGAAATCTTCTTTTGCGACTGGTCACCTAAAGTTCTCCTCCAAATACAATGAGAATTATAGGGGCTTACGGTTAATTTATCCTTGAATTCTGAAGTCATTTTTCTTTTCCAGCATCAATAAAAAAAGTATGAATCGATATTTTTGAGTTTCTTGTAACAAAGAGTCAAACAGAATGGTTTAGCCTCTTCCCAAACTTTTGCAAAGAACTGTCCTATAAATCAAGTTACTATAGCCTCAGTAAAATTCAGTCCTGCCTTTCCACCAGCAAGGAGCATGTTCTTTTTTTTTTTTAGATGGAGTTTTGTTGTTTTTTGCCCAGGCTGAAGTGCAATGGCACGATCTTGGCTCACTGCAATGTCTCCCTCCTGAGTTCAAGCAATTCTCCTGCCTCGGCCTCCTGAGTAGCTGGAATTACAAGTGTCCATCACCACACCCTGCTAATTTTTTTGTATTTTTAGTAGTGACGGGTTGTCATCATGTTGGCCAGGCTGGTCTCAAACTCCTGACCTCTGGTGATCCACCCACCTAAGCCTCCCAAAGTGCTGGGATTACAGGTGTGAGCTACCACGCTCAGTGCAAGGAACATTTTCATTAGCAATACACAATTATCATGGGTATAATAAGACCAGCTGAAATGGTCCTGATATCTTACATTTCTGCCATTAAACCCTCACGAATCTGAACAGAGACTATCAAGTGATAGGACAGCTATGCCCAAGTAATACAGTTGTTGTTTGTTGTTGTTGTTAAAAAAGCCAGCCATTTGTCATAATGCAAAAAACAAAGCTCAGAATTCTTTTTCTTAAGACATTTGATTAAAAGCTTAAGTCAACACATTTCCCAGCAGGTCATGTTCCAGGTAGAGACAAAGAGTAAAAACATCTCTGTGCCTAAATCTGGAAGCTACTTTGGAGATTTTCTACACCAACTTCAGTTTCCTACAGTACATGACCTTCATGCATTCTTTGATCAACTCTGTTTGTGACTGCCTGATTCCACACTTTGTACAGCATATATTTGGGTAATCTATCATCCAAGTCACTACACAGTCTGCCCAGAAGATAATTCCAGCAGTCAGCACTGCATTTCAGAAACCAATTGTCAGTCCTCTGTGGTCACTGTGACTTGTGGCTCATAATGATAAAATCGCTCAAGAAACTAGATCAAATGTATACTGGGAATATGGGACTGGCTAGCAAGCATATAAATGACTTCAGAAAGGTTAGCCTCCCTCTCTATTGCAAGTTATCTCATTGTAAGCCATTCTCTTCCTTCAAAGGACATGGTAGCTTTTAAGAAAATTTGCTCCCTTTCCTCTCTAAATAGAATTGTGCAGGTTTATTAGAAAAAGCCAGTTACAATTAGTGACATAGTGAAAATCCATAACCTTACAAATAATACTGAGTTCAGGCTACAATTTCTTGTGTTGTATACAGTGCAGGGAAAGAATATCCTGGCAACTGGCTCAAGGGCTTGCTAACTATGTGCAGCCTTTTCAAATGAGTGCTCCCCCAAAGAATGTAACTATAGCTCAAGCAGGGTTGTAGTGTGTTGCTTATACCCTTGAACATGGCTGTGCTCTATCTGCTTGTGAACCGCTACTTCAACACTTCAACACTTTGAGATATGGGTGTGGCCACAAGTTTCAGACAATTGATCAACTCATTACAGAATCAATTCCCAAAAGTTCTCTGGAGCTATAAAAACCTATGTCTATTGGTATACCCAAGACAAATAAATGGATGCTAGTGAATTTTCTATAATTCCTGCATAGAACCCTCCTTTCACCTATACTTCCATAGCCCTTTCTTTGTAAAATCTATTATTACTGCACTTCTCATATGACATCACGTACATGTTTCCCTCCTATTCTCTAAGCTCTTAAAATGAAGATGATGGGGCAAACAGCAGCTGCTCATAAATGGCTGTGTAAATGAAAGACTACTGGTAAAAACTGACTTCTGACATTATCCCAACCAAATTTTAATTTCCAGGTATCGCCATTCTTCTAGCTTTAGAAAAATGCCTGTAATCAAACCTGACAAGACTAGCCACAATCCAGCTACAGTAACATTAGGTAAGAATGCTCGTGGTATTTGCTTTAGCTCTAATTGGTTTCTGGTATATTTTCATGCTATTATTGTTACTGCTATATGCATCATCTAATAGATTTTACAGCCCTCTACAATGTCTGAAACTATAAACAGAAAAATGAGTTCAATAAATGTAAATGATTTAGTCTTCCACAGCAACCATTATCATAAATCATGAATGGAACTATCAGTAGCAATTCTGTTAGTTTTCTGCCTAATCGTTTTGGCAGAAGTTCAAGGGGCATATGTTGGCTCTTGGCTTGGGAACAGAATAATGGCAGTGCCTTCACAGCTCACTATATGCTGAAGTCATGTTTGTTGCCAGTTCTTTTCATATTCAAAATAATTTTCTGGTGTATGTAACACAACTTATTTTCTAAAGTATGTGAAATAAAGTTAGTATAAATTCATTTATTAGCTTAAGGTTTTGTATCCTCATTTTATGAAATTAAAACTCCTACCTCTATTTCATGCCCCAAGCCAGTGGACTGTTTAAAATGACACTTTTGGAGGATTCTTTATGCTTGTTCTGAACATTCTAATTTAGATAATACATTATCACAGAAACTCTTCTGGGGGTGTACTGATTTAACTAATCCCTTTGAATGCCAACTAATTAAAAATATTTAGCAATATGTAGCTTCATATGTACAAACATAAGATGTTCTTTTAAAGTACTGAATTATATATACTTCAAACTCTGAAATTATTTGATAGAGAAAAATAATCTTTACCCTGCTCCTATGCAGAAACATTGTAGTTTTAAAAGTTCAAATAAATTGGTTACACATGGTTAATTTTTGAAAAAATATACATATCAAGGTCAATGATGTACTAGTCAGATTTTAAGTGTTAAAACAAATCTGTACATTGAATACAAGCTTTATAATTAGATACGTAAAATATCTTTATTCCCTTAAACTAAGAAAACCACACATTCATAGAAACAATTTTTCAAGTAAGAAAAGTACTAGTAATATATCGGCAATAAATGGCTTGATCTATTGTGTTCATACAGCAAATTACAAGGCAAGAACTAATCCTAAAGCTACATTTAGATAATGTACTATTTTAAGTGCTATATACATATCTTGATTTTTTCTCTTTAATTTTGCTCATTTTGACGAATTACTTGCTTTCCTTTTGCAGACAGCCTGCACAAAGAAAGATGATTATCTCCTTCTAAACAAACAGAAATTTCTATTTTAGACAACATTTTTGCCTATTTAAGCTGCTCTATGCACTGAACTATCAGCTACATTTCTATGTGATTACCTATAAAGACAAGTACTTTCAAGTTTCTTTTTTTAAAGAAGGTGTAGAATGAAGCTGCTTATTTCTCTTTAATGTGGCACAGTCATTCTGCAATTAAGACGTACCTAATTACCATGTTTTCAACAGATGCAAATGCAGCTCAATTAAAATTCTAGTCCATATTACAAATTAAGCCACCCAACTCTGAAAGGTATCATGTTAGGACTGGATCACCAAGAAGTTTGGAAAAGATCGGGCATTTATGTGGATCGGGCATTTATGATGGAGAAAATGACTTCGGGTTTTCATTGAAGTGCAAAGTTCTGCAACTTCTGCCATAAATAATCTATTTCTATCTAAACTTTACAAACATTTTATGCTCAAAGTTGACTCAAAGCCTCAAAGTCGTTAGAGTCTATTTTTTTCCCCCATTGAGAAGTGATGCTACTGTTGATACTGTAATGATTTCTGTTGGCTGATTATCCAAAATCCATTTCTCCCTTTCTTCTTCCTAATAGAACTCTGTGTTTAGGAATGCAACCTAGCTCCAAGGGGCGAATTCATTACTAAGTTTATGGATACAATACCCCCTGCAGATTTGTCAGTCCAAGGTCATCAGACCAAGAATGGCCCCAATGGACTCAATGGACATATTCCATGCTTAGGAAGGGTTCATTCCCTTCTGTTGGACAGGAATGACAGTTAAAGGTCTCTGAGCCCT